ATTATGCGGCCGATTGGATATGCGCTGGTTCATTTGGACATGCGAGTGTAATATCGCATAGTATTTCGTGAATTCTGGGGTGTAAAAGAAGTTATTTGACGGGGTGGTGTGGAAAAGAAAGAATAGATATATAATGGGGTGAAAAAGATTTTGACCCTAAGAATAATTATATGGGATGGTAGATTCTAAGACTATGGGTTCAATTAACAGTTGAGTTCCTTCAGATATATCCCAATTAACTATTTTCTTTATCTACCCTATAAGATGATCACAAAATTAGCCTATCGTCCCTCTCGAGATCGATAAAACCGTAGATTAAATCACTTATTTTAGCGTCTCCACTCAACACATGCAATTCAACTCCAAAAAGATTAAAAGACCCAAAATCCTCACAATTACCTACTAATCTCTCGATTCAAGCAAGTAAATTATGTCAAGTATTAAAGACCTAATATTGAACTCATCTCTCGAATTATGAACAATATTGTCAAACATGTAAAAGAATTGATCAAGTTCTAAACATGAAATAAGAATAAAATACTTGAATAGGGTTCAAAAGAGAAACAATCAATTATAAATAAATCATCCAAAATCCCAACATATTAATCTACTACCATGTCTTAGAATCAAAGAAATCTAGCTACTCATGTTCGAATTCAAACACATAGACATATTAGAAATCGACATGATTAATAAAAGTTCAAAAGGAAAGAAGAGATAAAAACTAGGAATCTTGTGGTTGATCTTCTCTTCTTCACAATTGCCTCTCTTGTGTGTTCCAAGCACTTCTCCTTGTGTTCTCACGTTCTTCCCTTCAAAATAAGGTCAATATGCCTTTTTATATGTCCAAAACCCTTCTCCTTATCCAAAAAGGCAAACTTTAAAAATCTGTCTGCGCGCGCGACACGGCCACTCTGCCCGTGTCATCGTCCGTGTCGCAGCCCGTGTAAGCTCTAAGGCTTCGAAATCCCCCAGTTAGGTGACACGGCCACCTGACACGGGCATGATGCCCGTGTCACAAATCTACACTCTACTTTTTGCATGTTTCACTCGTTTCTTCCATTTTTTTCATTCGTGTATCAATCTTTCATCATCCCGGGGTTCTTAGGTACCCACCATGCGCCTCCAATAGCCAAAAGCTCTACAAATATGTGGAAAATATCTACAAAACAAGCACGTGTAATACCTTTGCAACAAGATATAAAATTAGAGCACAATAATGCAATTTATACACAAATAATGCAATGAATTAGCTCTAGATACTATATGAATATGGTGTAAAATCACACATGAACAAACCCCCAAACTTAAACCATTGATAGTCCCGATCAATGCATCTCATTCTCTCAACACACAAAGAAAAACAATCACAACTCTCAAAGTCGATCATACACATCATCAATAGTCATCAGGAAAATAACATGCTAAATTTCGGAATCTCTAAACAAAGAGAATGCTTCATCAAAATCATGGTCAATACTTCAATCCACAAACCTCACCGGATAAGTGTATACTCTCACTCTCAGAAGTGTATAGGGAAATAATCGCTCAAATAAATTCAATGTCAAAGAATTACCATGAGCTTGCAAATCGTCTACTATCTCCACCACTTATAGTGCATGCATTTCATGAATCAAAAAGGACTTTTTATTTGGTTGTAATGTAGGCTCTTTGGTCAGGGTAGGAAAAATATGGACAAAGTGACGAACACTTGAGCATCTAGAACTACAAAACATGGACCACATCAATTCATCTCCTTATCAACATAACCCACCCACTACCCAAATTCAATCAATTCCCTCAATCCATAAGAGAATAAAGATCAAACAAAAAACCAAAAATCGCCTTTATTCGAACTAAGGCAAACTATATACAAAATAAACTTTTTTTCTCTTTTTTTTCTTTTTTGTTTTTTCTTTTTTATTTATTTTTTCATTGGCCTCATTCAATGGCCTTATTCAAATTACCAAACAACATTTTCATCCCAAAACATCCCTTTATTCTCACCAGCACAACACACTCATCCCTTCACATAATATAATCCTAAATGCTCAAGTAGGGACAAGGAAAAATAAAGATAATAACTTAATGTGTGGCAATCAATAAAATAGGCAAAAGCTCAAAAGGGTTGACTAGGGAATAAAAATATTATTTGGTAAGCTAAAAGTCAAAAAGGCTAAAACAAAAATATGCCTTAAATCATTTTCACAAAAGCACACACCATGTAGTCTCAATATAGATACCAATGCAAGTTCTAGAATTCAACGACAATGAACAATACACTCAATCAACAAAGTGTAAGGCTCAATAGCTCACAAGTGATCATATATTCATGAATTAAAAGCATCAACCAATCATTCAAATTCACAATTCAATTCATCATCAAATTCCATCATCTGGTACATCATGCTCGAATTCCATATCCAATATGCATAACAAACTTATCAAGGTGAATCCAAGTTGACCAACTACAACTACTCAAATCCTACAAAAGCAATAAACGTGCTAAAGCAATAAACCTAATATGCAACTATATGATATGCAAGATAGTGTATGATATCTTGTTATCTTCTCTCTAAATTTCTCAAATCAAAATATCACATCTCCCCCCAAACTTGAATGAAATTATATGAAGCACATAAGGGAAGAATAGAATTCCAATAAAAGTAAAATAGAGAAGACTCACAAAATATCATTAGAAAGATGACAATTCTTGGTATAGATCTCAAAGCATATTCTTCGTCTTGTAAATCTCTCCAAGTAATGTTCTGCAAGGAAGAAAAACAAAATATCAAACAAACAAAAAATAAAACTAACTAAAAACATAAAAAAAATAAAGCAGTAAATATTGGGTTGCCTCCCAAGAAGCGCTAAGTTTAACGTCTTCAGCCAGACGCCTGTAAAGTACGGTCACGGCTCCTTCAAAGTCATGTAGGACAACTTCGCATCCTGGCATGGATGAAAATACTGTTTAATTCTTTGTCCGTTGACTAGAAAGGTCTCTCTATCTCGTGCAATCGATTTCTGTTTGTCCTTTGTCACTACTGTCATTCCTCTCTTTTTCGATACCACTTGCACCGGGCTCACCCACTCACTATCAGAAATAGCAACTATAATCCCTAAATATGGATATGCCAAATGATCTGGCAATGGTTTAAGCTCAAAAATCGGTGCATCGGGCTTTGAAGAACTTGATTCGGGTGAAATAGGGGTGAAAAGTGTTGGGTTCGATATACCGTACGGAACAGAGTTTACAGCGGAATTTAAAATTTCATAAGTATTTATCTTATAAATAATTATTCCGTACATAAGTATAACGATATAACGAATAAGCATCATTTAAAATCTAGTA